CACCTCGCCCGGCTAGTTTTTTGTATTTTTTAGTAGAGACGGGGTTTCACTGTGTTAGCCAGGATGGTCTCGATCTCCTGACCTTGTGATCCACCCGTCTCGGCCTCCCAAAGTGCTAGGATTACAGGCTTGAGCCACTGCGCCCGGCCCTAAATTGATCTTTAAGTAGACTCATAATTTGAAAATTTGCTTTGAAACAAGCTAGAATAAGTGCAAAAAATTTAACACCAGTTAACATTTCCCTGGAATAAAAGGGATCAAATAAACCAATTAATCTATCATAAGATAAAAGCATAAAACAAAAGATTAGTGTAAAAGATGAAAATTAGAGAATAAACACAATGACTCAAGTTCTGCTCAGTAGTTGTAAAAAGTAACTTTTTCTCATTTGCTTGGTCTTTATGCCAGATAAGTGATTATCATGTAAATGTGTAAGAGGGTTCTGTGATATGGTAAATTTCATACTTAAGATTAAATTTGTATTGTATATCAGAAATAAAAGATATTACCTTAAGTTCTTCAAAGCAAGGCTCATTTTATTTTTTCTGTTGCGCGGTCGCTTTTGCTTGTAAGAGGGTTTTGCTTTGGACTTAGCTATACGTCCTCTTGGCTTACTTGTATGAGCTTTACTTGCAGTGGATGTAGGTGCATGAGGCTTTCTTGTCTTAGATCTACCGGCATTAGATTTTCTAGGATTTTTAGCAGTTGTATTTTGAGATGTCGGAGGTGTGACCTGAAGAAAAGAAGTGCCTGGAGTACAACCGGAAGGTGCAGTTGGTAATTTTGATTGGAGAGGTCCAAGTGAAGCTCGAATAGTAACCTATAAAAACAAAGCCAATATGTATTTTTAGAAAGTAACCATCACATTAGTATTAAAAATATCATTGTAAGCCCTCACATTTACAGTAAATTGGTTTTTGACAAGGGTCCCAAAACATTTCCAATGGGGCAAAAAATAGTCTTGATGAATGCTGCTACAAAACTGATATCCATGTGCAAAAGAAAGAATTTGAATCCCTACCTCATATTATATACAAAAATTATCTCAAAATGTATTAAAGACCAAATTTTAAAAGGTAAAACTACAAAACTCTTAGAAGAAAATACAGTAGTAAATCCTTGTGAGCATGAGTTAGGCAATGGTTTCTTATATAATGACACCAAAAGCACAAGCAACCAAAGAGAAAATAGATGAATAGGCATTTCTTCAAAGAAGATATACAAACAGCCAACAACCACACGAAGAGATAGATGGTGCACATCATTAGTCATCACGGAAATGCAAATCAATTCCCAAATGAGATGTTCCTTCACACCAACCAGAATGGCTGTAATAAACAGACAATAACAAAATAACAAGTATTGGCTAAGACATAGAAAAATGAGAACCCTCATACACTGCTGGTGGGAACGCACAACAGTGTAGTTATAACGAAAAACAGTTTGGCAGACCAGGTGTGGTGGCTTAGGCCTGTAATCCCTGAACTTTGGGAGGCCAAGGTGGGCGGATCACTTGAGGTCAGGAGTTTGAGACCAGCCTGGCCAACATGGTGAAACTCCATTTCTTTTAAAAATACAAAAAATTAGCCAGGCACGGTGGCAGGTACCTGTAATCCCAGCTACTCAGGAGGCTGAGGCAGGAAAATCACTTGAACCCAGGAGGCGGAGGCTGCAGTGTGCCAAGATTGCACCACTGCACTCCAGCCTGGGCAACAGAGCGAGACCCCATCTCAAACAAAACAAAAAACAAAATAACAAAAAAAGAGAAACAGTTTGGCAGTTTCTCAAAATATTAAAGGTAAGAGTTATCATTTGACTCCACCATTGTATTCAGAGGTATATACCCAAGAGAAATGAAAACATATGTTCACACAAAAACTTGTACATGAATTTTTACAGCAGCATTACAGCCGAAAAGAGGAAACTTTTTCTGTTGCACTCTCGTTTTTGCTTGTAAGAGGATTTTGCTTTGGACTTAGCTATACGTCCCCTTGGCTTACTTGTATTAGCTTTACTTGCAGTGGATGTAAAAATTCCAATAGGATAACTGTGTTTTCAAAAAACAAATGACCCAAATGGCAATTTTGATTGGCAGTTTACATGTTTCTTACCTCATCATATGATTTACAAAGGCTTTGTTACAGTTAGTATTTTACTTGCAAAAACTGCAGTGGATGTATATAGAAAAGAGAATTATGCCCACCAATAGATGAAAGGATAAATAAAAGGTAGAATATCTATGCAGTGCAGTATTACCTACTGCATATTGAAAGAATGCAAAGATGGGTGATCAGAAAGAGAAATGGATATGCCCACCAATAGATGAAAGCATAAATAAAAGGTAGAATTTCTATGCAGTGCAGTATTACTCAGCCACAAAAAAGAACGAAGTACTGGAACATGGTACAGTATCAATGAAGCTGCAAAACACTATGCTAAGCGAAATAAACCAGTCCCTAAAGATGACATATTGTATGATTCAACACCAAACGTCCAGAATGGGAAAATCCATAGAGACTAAAAGCTGACTAAAGTTTGCACAGGGCTAGTGGAGGGGAAATAGTGAATGCTAAAGGGTATGGGGTTTCTTTTGAGGGTGATAAAAATGTTTAAAAATTTATTGTAGTGATGTTTGCCCAAATCTGAATATGCTAAAAACCACTGAACTGTGTACACTGTAAATGGGTAAATTGTGTGATATATGAATTATATCTCAATAACACTGTTACCAAAAAATCACTACAATACAAAAAGTTAAAATCATTATTTTGAAAGTGGCAAGTATAAAACTGCAATCAGATAAGCCTTCCACTTATTCTAAATGGTGGAAGCCTTCCACTTATTCTAAATTTATCTTGATATTTACTTACTGTTGTAATATTAGTTTTATATTGATAACAATTGTATGTTAACAGATATTAACGAATAATTAGGAGTTAGTACAAATTAGATGAATATCGAAAGAGCACATTCCATAGCTATTTTACGCTTTGACAGAATTAAAAGGGGCCGGGTGTGGTGAGTCACACCTGCAATCCCAGCACTTTGGGAGGCCAAGGTGGGTGGACTGCCTGAGCTCAGGAGTTTGAGACCAGCCTGGGCAATTTATCTCTACCAAAAATGCAACAAAATTAGTTGGGCATGGTGACATCCACCTGTGGCCTGTGGTCCCAGCTTGCACCTAGGAGGCAGAGGTTGCAGTGAGCTGAGATGGCACCACTACACTCCAACCTGGGTGACAGAGAGACCCCGTCTCAAAAAAAAAAAAAAAAACCCTAACTAAAAGGCTTTCACAAGTAGAGAGGTCAAAATGTAATACAGAGGCCTGAATTACCCTCTGGTAACTATAAAACAGATTTTCAGTAAATGTGACCTCTTCCTGGTGGATCAGGGGGCACGATTTCTGCTTCCAAGGTTATGGTGGAGCTTACATCAATTCATCATACAGCATGGTAGTTATAATAATGCTCAGAATTTCCTTAATGGTAACATATAAAATTTATCATTTACTATTTGGGAAAAGAAAATGTTTGTATCTACTGGTTAATAATAGAAAACAGTCACCCACTAACATTCTCTTTAATCATTTGACTACATTCCCCCCATGTACTTGAAGAACAGCTTCTGTGAAGTCCTATGAAATATATGAAGTATCATAGAAAAGCACTGAAGCAGAACTTGTTAGCTTGCAAACTGAAAATAAATTTTTTGAAAGCACTGGAGAAGTCAAAAAAATCCAAGTTTAAGAATCTTAGTACTACCTCGTCCTAGCTACATGACCCTGAGTAAGGAATTTAGCCTCTCTGAACCTCTTCATCTCTAATACGGGGATAATACTTGCCTTGTCTATCTCATTGGATCACCACAAAGGTTAAATAATAAAATGCATGGAAAGACACACTGAACACTTAATTCTAAAGTGTTATAAGACATATAGTATCATTATTACCAATATTACCATTACTACTGGTATCTTATTAATAAGGGAAGATGTGAGAGAGGACTGTTCTGCCTACATTAACATTCTGCATGTCTAATATCAACATGGAACAAATGGATTGCACAGAAGATGCCAGATGGTATATCTTACACTAGATATTCAGATAATTGTTTTATATTATTTTTGTTAATTTAAATGGCAGACATACTCGCATTCAAAAGTATGTACTCCAAATGAAATACAAATATGTGGGGATTATCTCACCTTGGATTATATAGCTCTTCACTGGACAAAATATTCAAGAGCTAACTTTACGTAAAGAAGTCAGAGGGCCAGGTGTGGTGGCTCATGCCTGTAACCCCACACTTTGGGAGACCGAGGCGGGCAGATCACTTGAGGCCAGGAGTTTGAGACCAGCCTGGCCATGTTGGTGAAACCCGGTCTCTATTAAAAATACAAACAATTAGCTGGACATACGCTGCACGCCTGTAATCCCAACTACCTGGGAGGCTGAGGCACGAGAATCACTTGAACCCAGGAGGCAGAGGCTGCAGTGAGCTGAGATCGCGCCACTGCACTCCAGCCTGAGGCATAGAGTGACTGTCTCAAAAAAAAAAAAAAAAACAAAAAAAAAAACTTATGTATATAAGGCAAACAAGGAGAAAGAAATTTGTAGTCTGATGTGTGCTTGCTCATGAAAAACAGCAATGCTATGCTATTCAGGAGCAACACTTGCTTCTCTGAGAGATTAGTAATACCAACTTCAACAAACCTATGGCATTCAAGGCACTACGACAGATGCTGGGGACACAAAGATAAATATAATTCTTGATCTTAAGTATCTTATAGTCTAGCAACTGAAAGACATACACATTGACAACTGGAATAGCTCAAAAACAGCCTACAGAACATTGAAACAACCTGTCGACTTAGTCTACAATCTAGTTGCACTAGAAATACCCCTCCAACAAACCACGTCAATCAACTAATAAAACACTGGTTAGAAGTTTTTCTTTACAAGCATAAGAAGGATAAAACCTAAAATTAAAGTCTTAATAACAATCAGACGTCAATTTTAATACTGTATTCAATAGATAAAACCAGGCAGTAGTTTGTTTCTATTATCATACAAAATGTTAAAAATACAGCATATTTAAAACTCACTTTTGGGGTGCATGTGATATTTTGATACAAGCATACAATACGTAATGATCATATCAGGGTAATGGGGTATCCATCACCTCAAGCATTTATCATTTATTTGTATTAGGAACATTCCAATTCCACTCTTCTAGTTATTTTGAAATATACAATAAATTATTGTTGACTACTGTTGCCCAGTGACCTTCCTAACACTAGATCTTATTCCTTCTATCCATAATAATAAAAAATAAAAAAAAAATTAATAGAATGTGCAAAAAACCACCAAAAACCCCCTCACAAACTCACTTTTGTTCCAGGAGGCAATCCTTCTAGTTCTTTAGGCTTTATAAATGTACGATGCTGTGCCTTATGTTCAGCTTTCTCCTTGCTGGTCAAAAATTGTAGTCTGCATTTTGGGCAACGATGAACCCCTTTTTTCTGTTTACAGAAAAGATTAGATATAATAACTTCCACCACCACAAATCCTAGGACCTGAAATTGCTCTTAATTCTAAAATCTAAATAAATTTACAACCAGAATTTTATCATCTCCCACCACAGACAATTCGAAATGATCTATTATTTAAAAGTTCTCCTTGTGTTAGTATTTGAGTTTCAAAAGCATTAGTTACCATATAAGGATCAAACATAAAAAGTATATAATTAGATTTTAATTGGAAAAGTTCTATACTGATTGTAGTGGCATAAATAAGAATGGATTCCAATCTATTGTTTGAGAAACCCTTGACTAAATTCCTCCTCAAACCCTAGTCCCATTATTATTTTACCAATGGGAAATAGGACCCAAGAGAAATTTGTCACTTGCCCATAGCTGGTTAGTGTTCTTTCTACTATACATTATCAATTGCAATCTTTATGTATCTGTTCTCATTAATTAAAATATATTTTATATTATTATAAATTTAGAACAACAAATACAAAAGAATGCTTTCTTTAAAGATGTATCTCCACCAGCTCATCATTATTTGCATATAAAACACAAACAATCTTTTAGGAAAACCAAATGAGGTAACATGTATGAAAGTACCTAGTAGAGTTACCGGTGCACAAAAGGCATTTGCTAAATAAAAGCTCTTTACAAAGTTCAAAGCAATATATAAAGATAAGGTGTTTGCATTACTATTTTAGTTTGATCTTCAGACTATTTTAGAAGTGTGGTGTACTGGATCATACCATAGGTACAGTAAACACAAACAGATTTACCTGTAGGTGCTCAAGAGAGAAGGGGAAAGAAGAAAAACTCAGCCAAGTAACAGACAGTAAATTAAGATGATGGATAGAATGTTTCTCTAGAGTATAGTTCCCACAGATTTTTTCTCTACCTATACCTCATCCAGTTTCATGGCTTTAAATAGCATCCACCCACTGCCTACTTGACATCTCTTGATGTCTAATAGGTATTTCAAATCAACATGGACAAAAAACTTGAACTCTAGATTCCCTCTCATTCATCCTGAGTGGGGAAGGGCACAAAATCTGTACCTTCCCTACTCTTCCCAATATCTCAGTATATGGGAACTAAATTCTTGCAGCTGCTCAGGACAAAAATACTTGGTCACTCTGAACTCTTCTCTTTCTCTTACATCCCACATTCAACAAATTAATAAAACCTGTCAGTGATACCTTAAAAAAATTTATAATTTTTCAATTTCTCATCACCTCCAATCACTGTTACCATACTTCTCTGAGCCACTTACGAGGACTCTTGCAATAGCCTCCTATCTTCTCCCTATTTCTATCCTTTCTCCTTCTACAGTCTATTCTTCCCATAGCTGTCAGAGTGATCTTAAAATGTTACAGATCTTTCACATGGTTAAACCCTCCAATGGCTTTCCATAACACTCCAGAATCCTGACTCTGGCTTACAAGTCCTTAAATGATCTGGTTTACATTCTATTGCTACAACCTCATCTACTACTACGTTTCCTCTCACTTGTTTACCGTGCTCCAGCCACACTGGCCTTTTGCTCTTCCTTGAATATCCTAGGTGTATGTTCACCTCACTGTCTACCTACTACTGTTCCCTCTACCTGGAACATTCTCTCCCAGATGAGTAAGCCACATGATTTACTCTCTTATTCCCTTTGGAGAAGCCCTCTTTAACCACACCATTTAAAAAACAGAAACCACTCCTTCATCTGAGCCCTGGCATTCCCTCTATCTATATTTTCTTCCCATGCTACTTACCATCAGCTGGCACACATATACATTCAGACATCACATACACACACAAATCCTTCTCTACCATGATGCAAATTTTAGCAAGCACAAAGCTTGCTTTGCTTACTTCTGTATCCCCAGTACCTAAAACAGTCCTTGACATTTATTAGGCACTCAAATATTTGTTAAATAAAGAAATAAAGTGAGGCAAGAGACTGACAGAGTACAAATGAGCAGCAGTCACAATTTAACTAGTTCAAAGTGTCTGCCATTTCATTCAATGAGTATTTGTCCAGAGCCCCAAGATGGGAGACATTAATCTACTATTCCCTTAGTTGGACTCAAGTCCTGCATATCTCTCTTATGTATGTATGCTTGCATTGTGCGAATGATCGCAGATGATTATACTTTTTTTTTGTTGAGATACAGTTTTGCTTTTGTTGCCCAGGCTGGAGAAAAATGGCGTGACCTTGACTCACTGCAACCTCCGCCTCCTGGGTTCAAGCAGTTCTCCTGCCTCAGCCTCCCAAGCAGCTGGGATTACAGGCGCCTGCCACCACACCCAGCTAATTTTGTATTTTTAGTAGAGATGGGGCCAGGCTGGTCTCGAACTCCTGACCTCAAGTGATCCACTCCCCTCGGCCTCCCAAAGTGCTGGGATTACAGGTGTGAGTCACCATGCCCAACTAATACATTTTTAAAATAAAATGTTTAACAAAAGAAACAGTAACTTGTTCCAAGGGTAGAGAAAAAGTTAAGTGTTGAACTTCTTCACATGCATACTATATGGTTTTGGGTGATACGAGAGTTTTTTTTTTTTTTTTTTTTGAGACGGAGTCTCGTTCTGTCTCCCAGGCTGGAGTGCAGTGGCATCATCTTGGCTCAATGCAACCTCTGCCTCCGGGGTTCAAGCGATTGTCCCCCCTTCAGCCTCCCAAGTAGCTGGGATTACAGGCATGCACCACCACACCCAGCTAATTTTTGGTAGAGACAGGGTTTCACCATGTTGGCCAGGCTAGTCTCAAACTCCTGGCCTCAGGTGATCCACCTGCCTCGGCCTCTCAAAATGCTGGGATTACAGGCATGAGCCACTGCGCCTGGCCAATTTGAGGGATTTTCAAGGGTAACTATCTGTAATTTCTGCCTTTAGACCTAATGTCAATGTGGAATATGAGTCTACAGTGGAAGCTTGGGCTAGAAATCAATTTTTGGCTCCACCATTTATTAGGGAATGTGACACTGGGCAAATTACTTTCTATAAAGCTTTGTTTCCTCAACTATAAAATGGAAACAATCATATACCTGCCTCATAGGGTGGCTGTGAAGATTAAACAAGATAATGCATGTAAAAGCACCAGTGGCTGTCAAATGGTAAGTGATTAGTACATGTTAACTGCTTATTGTTATTATTAAAGAGCTAATGAGGATATGTAACACATCTGGAGTCTTTCAGCCTTTGCTAAAAAATGTATAAACTGCATTGCTAACTCCAAAATCACTCAAGACATAATAATATATTATTTTTAGGAAAAAGTTGCAATCCAAGTCTTCAAAAAGAAAAAAATAAATTCAATAATTCTTATTATATAAAATTGCACTAATAATGCCATCTCAATTACAAGCTTATAATACTGGTCAGCTCAGGTTTTTGAGTCTTTTGTGAATAATTATGCAAACTGAAAATACCTTCAGAGAAGCCTGATGATCCTCATCAATAGAATCTTACCTCTTCACTGCTGACTGCCTACTCTTTAGGTACTCCAAACTTAACAAAAAAAATTGAGCACCTGAAATGGACTGAATGCTTGTGCCCCCCCTCCCCGCCCCCCAATTCATATGGTAAAATCCTAATTTCCAATGTAATGGTATTGGGAGGTGGAGCCTTTGGAAAGTATTTAGATTATGATGGTGGAGCTGTCATAATGGGATCCTTATAAAAGGGACCCCAGAGAGCTCTCTCCACCCCTTTCCCCATGTGAAGAGACAGTGAGAATATGGCCATCTATGAACAAGGAAGCAGGTCCTCACCAGACACTGAACAGCTGGTGCCCTGATCTTGGACTTTACAGCCTCTAGAACAGAGAGAAGTAAGTTCTTGTTGTTTAAGCTTCCCAGTCAGTGGTATAATAGCATGTTATAGCAGCTCAAACAGACTAAGATAGCACCTGTGGCACCTCAGTGGTCCCTAAGACTACTCCCAGATGTGATGATTCAGCAGAAGGATCGATAGGACTTAAGACACTGTTATACTCACGGCTATGTTTTAGTACAGTGTAAGGGTACAGAGCAGGATTAATAAAGGAAAATGATGCACTGGATAGCTTCTAGAGGATTACCAGGTGCCAACTTCTAAGAGTTCCATTCCAGTGGAGTCACACAGGACACAATCCCTCAGCAATGAACTGCAGCAATACGCATATAATCCCTCAGCACTGAACTGCAGCAACACCTATAAAGTGTTGCTTGATGGGAAAGCTCTCTTGAGTCTAAGAGCTTAGGTTTTTCATGGGGGTAAGCCACCAAATTTTCAGATGACTCCCTCCACTGCAAGAAAAGCAAGTGGTCACCATAACCGTATTTTTTTGGTGTAAATTTTCTTGACAAACTGTTACAACATGGCTCAAGGTTCCAGGCATGTAAAACACTCTTATCAATTAAGAACATTTTAGGAGCTCAATTTCTAAGATTTAGCCAAGGGGCACTTACACAAGCAGGCACTTCTGAAATTGTGCAATATTTGAGCAACTCAGACCTGTTGGGTAACTCTTTCCAATACATACAGTAAGTTAAGGCATACAATTTAGGGTATGAAGAATGACTACAGATCAGATAAACCACTTATGAGACACAGCTCACAAAGTGGGTTCACTGTGTCTTTCTTACCTTTCTAAGCATGTTATCACTCCTTTCGAATCTACATGTATATCACTCTAGAGCTTAGTAAAGCATAGGCGAAAGGATTATGTTAGAAGACCTATAATTAGACAGTCAGAGATACTGCTTTATGTTCCATTCTTCTTTTCAAAATTGAAGGCCAAAAAACGAAATACAGACCACCAAGAATAGTGTTTCCCAAACTGTACACCTCAAGAAATGTTAATAGGTACTGTGCAAATAAAGGGCTCAAAGGTTAAAAATGTTTGAGGACCATTACATACTATGTCCCTTGCTTAGAGATTTACAATATTAGCATATTGAAAGCTCTGAAAAGTCTTGTTTTTAAAAATAAAGAAAAAACACCCCTATGAATTTTGTAAATCCAGCCATTCACTAAATTTCTTTCACTAGGAACAAGTTAAGAGGGAAACACTTATTAAGATTTGAGTGAACACTGTTGGGGGAAACCCTAGAAAGATTTTGCCAAAGGTTTTTAAGGGTGAGATGGCCTACCAGGATAAAAAAAAAGATACTGATACCATCTAAGTCATAACACAGGTAATCTGAATGTATTTGGAAATTCTATTTTTATGACTTTTTTTCCAATTAACTACAAGTTGATTTCATGATCATCCAACGACTACAATCAAGGGCCACGTTAGCGCCAGTGCTGAATGAACTTGCCGAGACAATGCAATTAATACTAAGAAAATGTAATGAGCTGATCAGTGAGGAGGTAAAACTCGATTACATGACCAGATTTAGTAAATCCATTGACTTCTGATTTTTGGTAAAGGCACTATTGCTGTTTCAAACACTCAAGAATAGGCCCACTGTTTCATCAAAGTTTTCAGCCCACAGGATGCTCTAATTGGGGAAAAGAATCAGTAAGCATAAAATCAGAATTCAAGGGAAAGATGCAAGCATCAATACTGGTATCCCAGAAATTATACAGCAGAACTGGCAAAAGTCACAAAGGAAGTTACAACCTAAATATAGTTCTCTGGTGTAGTTCACATATCTGGTCATAAGTGTTCTTGCTGTTTCCTTTGTTAATGGCTGCTACAAAAGTTAATTCTGGGTCACTGATGACAACCACATGTCTCATAATAAAAAGTGGGCTAGAAAGTAGAAATAAGATTTCAAGACAAAGAGGAAAACACAAGGCTATGAGTCCTTAATTTTATGTTCCTCCATTCAAACTTATTTTTTCCTGCTCTTGATAAGCACCTCCAAAATCATTCCCAGTCCCACCACCCTTAGGTCCTGAAATATCTAACTTAAGAATTTCATGAATTTTCTGTTTTTTTCCTCCACTTTGGGGTTCCTATTTCTAGCTATCTTTCAGAACTTTGACTATTTATGAGTCTCAGCGTCATCAGAAAGCAAGCAAGGAAAATAAGTGAAAGTTTCACAAGTTATTCAGCATAAATTATAAATTAATTGTGTCATTCGGAACAACTTTGCTTTCTGTTCAGAACAAATCTAACCAATGTTCTAAGTTATAGACAGATATAGATGTAGCTATAGATCTATACATATAGATCTGTATCTTTTCACTAAGACAACATGAACAAATAAGAACTGCTTAATCTCACCTGATGCTTCATGTAATGATTCATGTAGGGGGTTGCCATTTTACTAACTTTGAGGCAAAATGGACATAGCAAGTTCTTAGTGTTTTCATGGGCTGCTCTAAAATGAGCTTCTACATCAGAAAATGTTGATGATCTAAACTGGCAAACCTAGAAATATAAAGAAGGCTTAGTTTAACTTGAAATTTTATAACTTCTTGCAATTACATCAAAGTAGCAATAACGGGTCATCTGTTTGGAAGAACATGTACTACTAGTACAGCTCTGCCGCCTATACAACTAAGAATCATATTACTGCAAGTAACAAAGATAACATTTGAAAGATATCTTTCAAAGTTTAGGCATATATTTCAAAACACAGTAAGACTCTCTTCTTTTCAAATCTACCACCCCTATCTTGATGCGAATTTTCAAGCTCTGCCAAATCTTGTTCTAAAAAGTTTCCTGCTATATAAAACAGAGTACTTTCTTCTTCAGATTTTAAATAGCATCCATGCTATGCCAGTGTCAATTTATCTTTATCTCACTTCCTTGTTACTGGAAGCCACTTCAAATTCTGCAACACTGATCCCAAAGCATTTAAATCGGTTTTCTATAACTAAGAGATTTTCCTATTTCTCTAGCATATCTACAATCTTCCCTATATGATAACCCACATATTTGTCTTTCTCTAGTAGGGCATTTCCTCATCTAGTGCAGAGGTCAGCAAAGTACAACCCACAGGCAAAAGCTACTCCACCCCCTTATTTATAATGCATGAGTTAATCCCAAGGGGGTTTCCACTAATGAAGAGGGTCTTCAATTTTAGCATAGTAACTAATTTTACTTAAATGGCTTTAAAAAAAATCAAAAGAACAATACTATTTCATGGCACATGAAAATTAAACAAACACTTAACTACACAATAAAATGTGTACCTGGCAAACATATGGCATTTCACCAGGTTTATGGGTGTCCTTCATATGTTGTAAAAGAATATGCTCTGTTTCAAATGATAATTCACAGATTTTGCAAATAGCTGAAAGTGGAAAAAAACACATTATACCATTTAAGGATGTGTATAAAAAAGATTCATTTTGTACATCCATAACAACAACAAGTAATAATAATAGTAGAAGTAATAGTGATGTGGTTCTAACAATTTTATAGCTGTTAACTCTGTAATGCTGTTCCAAGGATATATTAGCTTATTTAATTCTTGTAACATCACCGAGGAAGGTACTGTTATTTTTTATTCCTATTTTTCAGATGAGGAACCAGAAGCACAGAAAAATTAAGTAACTTGCTTGAGATCTCACAGTTGTAGTAAAAGGCAAAGTTGGAATCTGAACCAAATCTGTTCACTTCTCAGACTCTAAATCTTAACTAACTTTGCAGTTACTTTTTGTCTAAAGTGTAAATCAAGACAATCGATTTCAAATTTGAAAACCATGGAATCTGGGTGTTCTAATTCAGTCCCCTACACACAATGCATGTTATGCCAAGGAAGTTTCCACTAATGAATTGTTTATAAGAAAGATTTCAATTTTTTTTTTTTTTTTTTTTTGAGATGGAGTCTCACTCTTGTTGCCCAGGCTGGAGTGTAATGGTGCCATTTTGCCTCACTGCAACCTCCGCCTCCTGGGTTCAAGTGATTCTCCTGCCTCAGTCTCCCGAGTAGCTGGGATTACAGGCATGCGCCACCTCGCCAGGCTAATTTTGTATTTTTAGTACAGATGGGGTTTCTCCATGTTGGTCAGGCTGGTCTCTAACGCCTGACCTCGGGTGATCCACCCACCTCTGCCTCCCAGAGTGCTGGGATTACAGGCATGAGCCATTGCGCCCGACCGAGGGACTTCAATTTTAACAATTTTTTTTCTTCTACTTTTTTTTTTTTTGTAGAGGCAGGGTCTTACTATGCTGCTCAGGCTGGAGTGCAGTGGCTATTCACAGGTGCAATTGATCACAGCAATCTAGAGTACTGAACTCAAGGGCTCAAGTGATCCTCCTGCCTCAGCCTCCTTAGTAGCTGGGAGTACAGGCATGCACCATCACACCTGGCTTTAGTAACACATTTAATCTAAGTTTATAAAAGTTATGATTTTTCTTTTCAATTTTGCCCTCAAATTACAAAGTCTACTTCTTATATTTATTTTTCTGTCAGAATTTTTAAGGGTTCCTCACAGTTCGGATGATCAAAGTCAGTAATATTCAGGATTCCAAAGAAACTTTCACTTACTAGAAAACTCATGGGGAGTGTGTGTACTCTCAATGTGGCACTGCAGTTGGAAGGGTGTGGGATACTGCCGGTAACAGTGCTGGCAGGTGGTGTGGTTTTCCCAGCTTTCGTTGTTCTGCTTCTCAAGTTCCAAGTGATGTTTCATGTGGTTCATAAACCTATAAACAATTTGCCAATAAGAGCAAAAATTCAGACTTATAACCAAAGAAAAGTCTCTGAACCTAAATTTTAAAAATGTAATTCTATTACTCAAAATAACATCTCCGAGGCCTGAAAGCCCTCTAGAAAAGTGTGTACTTTAAATAATTTTCATTAAGTGGCTCAGTAAGGTTTTTTTATCTTTGTTTTTAAAATAATCCATTAATGTAGTCATATGAAACATCACTAATTTGCTGTAACACTTTATCATTATTTTAGATTTAAAACTTTTTTTTTGCAAAGAAAAATAGCAGGCTTCTTTTCCATACGTAAAATACTATTTACATTTTAAAATAAAATACTGAAAGGACGGAAACCCTACCACCAAAAGCAGCTACAGGGAACAGACAAATCTTTGAAAGCTTTGAAGGTTTCAGCGCTTCAAAAGACAAACTGCTGGTATATTTTTATTTGTGTCTTGGTTTCTAAATGCATGCAATAGCAATTTTAATGCCTATAATTACAAGAACCTTTTGTTTTATCTAATTATACTGGCTTACTGTTAGCACAAACTATTCATTTTTCTTAGCAGGCTGTGCCCTTTGTAGCACCGTCTGTTTTTCAGTTTTACCGTCTGCTATTTTAGCTTCTCTAAAAGGCTTCTGAAGAGAAGGAACTATGATGTTCAATAGCAGAGAGTACAATATAAATGGACATACCGTTTTCAAAGGGCTTACTAAAACTTTTTGCTGAATTTCAAAGTAGCCATATTCAATGTAAACAATTTTACGACTGGGTCAACTATTTACAATTACGAATCACTGAAGAAAATAATCTTGAAACAAAGTGATAATGTCATCAACCTAGATAGCAATTATTGTGAAGGTTTGGGTTTTTATCTTTTTTTACACCTCCAAAACACTTCTCTTTAGTTTTGGTAAATGTCTGAAATTTATTTTAAAATTGAAAAATTTGAGCTTTAAATAAGGTTAGTATGAAGGAGGTCATGCTGCATAGTGGTTCTTCTGGTGACATGAAGAAAAGTAAGATTCAAAGACAGCTAGAAAATATAAGTTTCTCATGAAACCTCCAAGTTCAATAATAAATGCAGGGAAAAGAAATAATTTCCCCCTAAATTAAAATACATTTTATCTTTTCTTAAGCTATCTGAAAACAATACAATTAGGTGGATCCTGGAGTCAAACTCTTAAAATACAAGAAGGAACAAAAATTTTCCAACATGATAATCTGCCTCTGTTCTTAGTAGAAAGTATTATAATTACTTACTGAGGATGGCACAGCAAAGTAAAGATACTATATTCTTATCTGTCATATTCCAACTTTCAAACAGAAATAAAAATAAATATTTACATACCTAATATTATTTTTAAGAACTTTCGAGCAACTGAAGCATTTAAAGGTTGTGTAAGTCTTTGGCTCTTTCTCAGTGACTCCTTCATGCCTTCCATAATAAAACTCATTGACTAACATGATCAACTTTCCCGTCTCTGAATCAGTCTTATTTTTGTCTTCAGCACATGGATGTTCTGATTTAACAATTACTCCCAAAAATTTAGTTATCATGTCTGGACAACAATGCTGAAAGAGGAAAAAAATATGAGCCTTGTCTATAGCTCTTTTAAAGATTAGATATCAAAAAACGATTGAGTTTACATCTAAGGCCAGATGATATAAAACTATGCTTGGCAATGTATCTAGAAAGATATTCACCAAAATTGTGGCTTCCATTTTTATATATTTTAAAAAAATTCAAACAATAAACACCTACTATCTTAATAAAGGAATAACTTCAAAAACAAATTGAAAACCTTAAGATCAGGGATGTTTATATATCTAATATTTTTTCTTTACAATTTTTCTTTTTAGATGTAAATATTTAATAATAATTTTTTCTTGGCCCAAAATCACCCATTTCACATCTGTGTCAAGATACAGCTCACGTGCTTATACACTGTTGGCAGGAATGTAAATTAGTTCAGCCCCTGTGGAAACAGTTTGGAGATTTCTCAAATAACTAAAAATCAAACTACCATTTGACCCAGAAATCTCATTACTGGGTATATAGCCACTGGGAAATAAATCGTTCTACCAAAAAGACACCTACACTTGTATGTTCATTGCAGCACTATTCACAATAGCAAAGACATGGAATCAACCTAGGTGCCCATCAACAGGGGATTGGATAAAGAAAATGTGGTACACATACACTATGGAATACCAGACAGCCATAAAAAAGAATGAAATAATGTCCTTTGCAGCAACATGGATGCAGCTGGAGGCCATTATCCTAAATGAATTAACACAGAAACAGAAAACTAAGTATCTTACGTTCTCACTTACAAGTGGGAGCTAAACACTGGGTACACATAGACATAAAGATGGAAACTACACTGAGGTCTCCAAAAATTGGGAGGGAGGGAAGAGGGCAGGGGAAGAGAAACTTTCTATTGCACACTATGTTCACTATTTGGGTGACAGGATCAGAAGTCCAAACCTCAGCATCATGCAATATACCCTTGTTAACAAACTTGCGCATGTATCCCCGAATCTACAATAATTAAAAAAAAAAATAGCTCAGGTCGGGCATGGTGGCTCATGCCTATAATCCCAGCACTTTGGGAGGCTGAGACAGGCAGATCACGAGGTCAGGAGTTCGAGACCAGCCTGGCCATGGTGAAACTCCGTCTCTATTAAAAACACAAAAAATTAGCCGGGCATGGTGGCGTGTGCCTGTAGTCCCAGCTACTCAGGAGGCTGAGGCAGAAGAATTGCTTGAACCCAGAAGGCAGAGGTTGCAGTGAGCTGAGGTCGTGCCACTGCACTCCAGTGTGGGTGACAGAGCGAGAGTCTGTCTCAAAAAAAAAAAAAAAGCTTAAAAGGTAGTTTTATATGTCATTATGTATAAACTTGATTATAAAATAACACAGTAATATTTAAGTGAAGCCTGGTTGGAACCAGACTTTGAGCACAGCTAACCTGCTATTCTCCAGACTTAACATGCTAGAAAATGTGTGGAACACAAAGAAAGAAGCATCAGTTACATTTTGAATATCTCAACATATTCTATCTAGAATGCCTAAATATCTGAAGGGGAAATCTACCTCATGAATAAAATCAAGACATCATATAAACTGATCCTAATGTGGAATACTTTCATACAAAAGCCTTTTTTATCCAATGAGATAAAACTAATTTATTTATTGGGTATATTTTACAGTTGTAGAATTTCTCTAGAAGAATTCTCTAAGAATAACTGGAGAAATAAATAGGAGAAACTGTATCTGAGAAAGCGTTAAAATCCAAAATATACGAGAAACTCCTACAACTCAATTTTTAAAAATGGACACAGGAATTGAATAGACAAAAGACGACACATGAGTAGCCAACACGCATGTATGTGCAAAAGTGCTCAACATCACTAATCATTAGGGAAATGCAAACCAAAACTACAATGAGCTATCCCCTCACACCTATTAGAACAGCTATATCAAAAAGATAAAAGATAAGTGTTGGTAAGAATGTGGAAAAACGGGAACCATTTTACACTGTTGATGGGAATTTTATTGGTGCAGTCACTATGGAAGACATGGGAGGTTTCTCAAAAAGTTAAAAATAGAACTACCATATGATCCAGTAATCCTACTTCTGTGTATACGCCCAAAGGAACTGAAATCGGAATCCCAATGAGACATCTGTACTCCCATGTTCATTGCAGGGTTATTCATAATAGCCAAGACATGAAAGTAATCTAAACGTCTATTAATATACAAATGGATAAAGAAGATGTGGTATATATACACACACACAGAAATGGAATATTATTCACCCGTAAAAACAGAAGGAAATCTTATTTGCACCAACATGTATGGATCTGGAAAACGTGCTAAGGAAAATAAGCCAGTCACAGACAGACAAATATTACATGATTTCTGTTACATGAGGAATCTAAAATAGTCAAACTCATAGATGCAGAGAGTGGAATTGTGATTGCCAGGGGCTAGAGGGAGGGGAAAATGGGAAGGTATTAGTCAAACGGTACACAGGTTCAGTTATTCAAGATGAGTAAGTCCTAGAGATCTACTATACCGAATAGTGCATATAGTTAACAATACTGTATTACATACTTTAAAAATCTGGCTGGGTGCAGTGGCTCACGCCTGTAATCCCAGCACTTTGGGAGGCCAAGGCAGGCAGATCACCTGAGATTGGGAGTTCGAGACCAGCCCGACCAACATGGAGAAAGCCCATCTCTACTAAAAATACAAAATTAGCTGGGTGTGGTGGTACATGCCTGTAATCCCAGTTACTCAGGAAGCTGAGAAGGGAGAATTGCTTGAACCCAGGAGGAGGTGGAGGTTGTGGTGAGCTGAGATTGCGCCATTGCACTCTAACCTGGGCAACAAGAGCAAAACTCCGTCTCAAAAAAAAAAAAAAAAAAAAA